GGTTTGAGAGAGGAGTAAAGGAGGCCATCTTGGTGAAAATAAATCGTACATCATTAAACAGGGCTGAGGCCTCTGTGTTCAACCATCTCCCAATACATTGCTGTTATTGCTAGTATCACTCAGCCCTCTGTGAATAGCAAGCGGCCATCAGGGCACTAACGATCAGTTGTTAAGCTGATGGTTCTCCCTTATCATGTGAACAACAAGTTTTGGCTGTCACCATCAAACTGGTTGATCCACTATGAGAAGGTGCTGTTTATAAGACTCTAAGTTAAATCAGGTCCTCTGGATGGGTAAAAAAAAATTGTAGAAATGTTTCATCTTTCATCCAAAAGACTTCTTCAGTTTGACGAGCTGTACTAAGCTCAGTCTTATAAATAGCACCTTAACACCAATAGTCTTGGCCCGATGATGTTGATCTTCTGTGCTGGGCCATCCTTTTGGCCAGTGGCTGTTTAGTTTCCCCGATGTAAGACTGATCACAGCCCTCCTGACACTGAACAGCATACACAACATTACTCTGTTTGTGCCGGGGGACTGGATCTTTGGGATGAACCAGTGTTTGCCGTAATGTATTTTGGGGTTTAAAAGCCACTGGGATGTTATGTTTAGAAAATAAACGTCTCAGTTTCTCTGATACTCCCTCAACATACGGAATGACCACTGGTCTGGGTCTGGGTTCCTCCTTTTCACCTGATGGCTGACTGGAGTCCTGTTTGGGTTTCTTCTCTGCTTTCAGGAAGGCCCAGTTAGGATATCCACATTGCTCTAGAGCCTGTCTTGTGTGGGATTTCTCCTTCTGCCTGGCTCCTGAGTTAGTGGGGATGCTGTCTGCTCTGTGATAACTTTGTGGTAACTTGACTTAACTTTTTTTTTATTTTTCTACCTGGATTATTGAGCATGCATCAGGATGTTTATAAGACTGTTTGTTTGTTGCAGCTCCTCAGGCTGAAGAAGCCTTATGGACAAAAGACAAAATGTTTCCACAAGAATCCATCCAGAGGAACTGACTCAACTTTGTTAGACCAGATTGTAAAATTAGGTGGTGCAAATAAAAAATTAAGTTATTTGGTAACAAGTCAGTAAGTGGACTGGGTGTAAAAAAATAAAAAAATAGAGAAGCTGAACCTCTTAGAATTACAGATGGGCATAGTTCCACTAGTCTACAACAACTGTGTCTAAATATAGTGGGACAAGTTTAGAATGATGTTCCTAAAGTGAAATTTGGGAAGACTTGGACACTTTCACAAATCATTGTCCGTAAACACAGCTCACCATGTTTTTCATAAATGCTGCTTAAAGCTCTGTCATGCAAAGAAGAAGCCATACTAAATACAATCTAGAAAAATGCAGCCATCTTCTCTGGCCCAAAGCTCAGTTAAAATGGACTGAGGCAAAGTGGAAAACTGTTCTGTGGTCATCCAACAAGGTTAAGTCAGGTCCTCTGGATGGATTCTTCTTGTTGAAATGTTTAATAGTTTATCTAAAAGACTTCTTCAGTCTGTGGAGCTGCAATTAACTCAGTTTTATAAACAGCATCTTCTCATAGTGGATCAACCAGTTTGCTGGTGACAGTCAAAACTAGCTGTTCACATGCAAAAGGAAGACCATCAGTCTAACAATCAATTGTTAGTGCCCTGATGGCCACTTGCTATTCACAGAGGGCTGAGTGATACTTGCAATAACAGGTAAGTGGGTGACAACTGGACATGGAGGCCTCCGCCCCTGTGCTGTGGTCAGAAAATCAAAATCTGACATTTGTTTAGGAAATCGTGAACGCCATATCCTGAGTACTGAAGAGGAGAGGGACCATCCAGCCTTTCATCGGTGTACAGTTTAAAAGCCTGCCTCTCTTCTGCATGATTGATACCTTTCCAAGCAAGCATCAAAGTGTATACAGGTTTAAGAACAACATGTGCTCCCATTCAGACAATGTCTCTTTTTCGGAGGTCTTGTATATTTCAACAAGATGATGCTGAATCACAAACTGCATCCATTACAGCAGCAATCTGAGTGCTGAACGGACCTGCTTGTAATCCAAGCATCTCGCCAACTGAAAACCTTTACAACATGAAACAATGAAAAAATAAATAAAAAACAGAGAAGACCTGGGACTGTTGAATGGCTGGAATCCTCCATCAGACAAGAATACCTCTAAAAGCTAAAGCTGCTGGTCTCAGTTCCTGGATGTTGACAGCCTGTGTTCATGGAAGAGGGGATGCTCCATGGTGATAAACATGGCTGTGTCTTGTTTACTTTGAGATGTGGTGGATGCTGCCATAAAAATTCAAACTATATTATATTTTCCTTAAAAATGGTACAATTTAATATTTTAGACTATTTTTTTGTTTACAATGTTCTATTGTAAATAAAATATGGGGTTTATAAAGTGTGAAGATCATTGCAATTTATTTTAATTATTTATTACTGGAGACCCTAACTTTGTTGGAATTATAGTTGTAAATAGAAATACAAGTAAAATATCTTATACAGATGGGCAGTCAATTTCAAATAAGAAAAAACTAATAAAAAAGATGATACTTTAGCTAAATACCTACAGTATACTAAGGAGATTCCTAAGATCACAATGCAAACATGTGGGTGTAAAATCTCATTTATTTAGTATGAAACAACACTATTTACTACCGTAGATATTATGTTGTCTAATCCAAGATTGTGGTCATTTAGCAAAAGCGTCTTTGAACTATTTATATAAAAGCTGAAGGCCAGCGATGTGGTCTGAGTCATGCAGGCTGGTATGCTGAGCTGATATCATACAGTGACTAACGGTGCTGATAAGATGGCACACATGATTTGGGGCTTTACATTTTTAAAAAGCACATGTTTGTAGTAACGTAACCAAAGTGCGAGCTGAGGGTTGATGGAGCTGATAGAGGAACATTTGAGAGCTCTCAGCCTCTAATCTGTCTGACTTCATGAAGAATCCACCCTCACAGGAACCTGGGTAACAAGTGACTGAAGACTTTAACCATTTTCCTGTTTACTTTTAAAATCTGTGTAGGAATCATACATAATCTCAACCACCATACACAACTCTATATTATATCATCTCGTTAAAACAGTAGATGTTATGGCCCATGTTTCATACATGCGTCTTGAGCATCAAATTGGAGAAACACAGTTTATGACCAGAATGATGAGCTAATAGCCAATTCAACTGGGGCCAAGACCAAAGTGGATTTGCTCTAAAACAACTCCACTCTTTCAAATCTCATATCAATTTATACCTTAAAAACCTTTGAACAATCACCAACTTTGAAATAG